GGGTGGGGGGGGAGGGGGGATTATTTAAACGAGCATTCAATTTCAAGGAAAAGGATTATCAAGTGATTTCTATCTCGCTTTCTATCTCTTTTAATGCTGCATAAACTCTACACTGTTACTAGTTCGGCTATCATTTTAAGGGTTAGCTGCGCTGTTAATTAGGTATGTATTGCTCGCTCTGCACTATCCTGTGCAATGTGCGAGAGTACGTGAATAGTGTTCGTAGGGAAAAGTACTGAGTAGAGTCTACGGCGGTTCCTTTTACCCATAGGGAACCAGATGGGGAATGAGGGATCGGGTGAGGTGGCATGTTGTATGTAAAAATGACCTTAAAGAGGGAAGGAAAGGGTTGATTAGGTTATAATCGAAAGTATTAGTGGGGATTATGTATTACAGATCGATACTTGAAAAAGATCCAGTTGGTGGGAAATCGTAAGGGGAAATTTCGATATTAGGTAGGGTTCCGAGGGAGAGGGCGGTCATGAAAAAAAGGCTAGTGTCTTTCGAGGAACATGAATCTGAATGGCTTTGTCGTGACCCTTTTCATAGGAAGGGGTAGGAGATGAAAATTGTCAGCAATCTCCGTAGACTCTAGCTCAGTGGTTCAGGTAAGTTCGGGAGAGTGCGGGAGATTGTAGGAGAGAGACTAGGTTGTGCTGCTGAGTGGGTCATGTGATGAGTAGTTCATTTTCACTGTTTGTCGAGATTAAAATATGCGGAAAGGGAGGCCGTCGTTTGCTCCGCAGGCGGTCGCGGACGTTTTGAATGCTGAGGACGGTGGGGCAGAGAGGTGGTTTATGCGTTCAAATGAACTCCTCATCGCATGATTATCTCTTGCTTGATGAACTCCTCATCGCATGATTATCTCTTGCTTGCGAGCTGTACGTACTGAACAGAGCCCATGCTGAACAGAGTCTATGGGGACCGTTCCCCTGAAAAAAAGGAACTAGGAAGTGACCAGAAAGGACGGGTAAATTAGCATGTAGTAGAAGAATGGGCGTTACGTCGCTGAGTATGTTGTCGTTCGAAGTAATGTAATATTAATGTTGTAAGTAACAGTTGTAAAAAGAATTGTCCTTTGTCGTAGTTTTAGTGGGGGTGAATTTAGAGGGAATTTCGGCATAAGGTGGAATTCAAAGGCAAAGGGGGAAGTTTTCTCTATTTGGAAAAGAGGCTGGGACTTTGTATTGTTTTGACCAAAGAGGAGTAGAGGGAGACGTCCATAACGGCCCCTAGGCTCTAGTTGAGAGGAGAGTGATTATGAGAGACAGGTAATGAGAGTTTGTCATTTGTCAAAACTGTCATTCCAAAGAGGATATCGTAATACTCTCTGCGACATATAAAAACTCCTCGTCACTCAGGAATCGAAGTGGTGCAAAGAGTGGTGTGGAAGGACGAGCACTCGCGAAGTGTGTGTTGTGTTGTGTTTATGTGCCCGGTGTTGTGTGTTGTGTGTTGCGAGTTGTGATGTATGTTGTGTGCTTTGCTATTTACAAGTTGTTCTAATTATTGTTTATTTATTGTTGTTATGTTTACAATGTAAGCATGAAATAAAAAAATACAATCTCAACGATTCTTATGTGTGTACCCACCCTAAGTCCTACCCGTT